TGTGTATATATATATATATATATGTATGTGTATATGTATGTATGTGTATATGTATATGTATATGTATGTATGTGTATATACACTATATTGCCAAAAGTATTTGCTCACCCATCCAAATTATTGGAATCAGGTGTTCCAATCACTTCCATGGCCACAGGTGTATAAATTCAAGCACCTAGGCATGCAGACTGTTTTTACAAACATTTGTGAAAGAATGGGTCGCTCTCAGGAGCTCAGTGAATTCCAGCGTGGAACTGTGATAGGATGCCACCTGTGCAACAAATCCAGTCGTGAAATTTCCTCGCTCCTAAATATTCCACAGTCAACTGTCAGCTGTATTATAAGAAAATGGAAGTGTTTGGGAACGACAGCAACTCAGCCACGAAGAGGTAGGCCACGTAAACTGACGGAGCGGGGTCAGCGGATGCTGACGCGCATAGTGCGAAGAGGTCGCCAACTTTCTGCAGAGTCAATCACTACAGACCTCCAAACTTCATGTGGCCTTCAGATTAGCTCAAGAACAGTGCGCAGAGAGCTTCATGGAATGGGTTTCCATGGTCGAGCAGCTGCATCCAAGCCATACATCACCAAGTGCAATGCAAAGCGTCGGATGCGGTGGTGTAAAGCACGCCGCCACTGGACTCTAGAGCAGTGGAGACGCGTTCTCTGGAGTGACGAATCGCGCTTCTCCATCTGGCAATCTGATGGACGGGTCTGGGTTTGGCGGTTGCCAGGAGAACGGTACTTGTCTGACTGCATTGTGCCAAGTGTAAAGTTTGGTGGAGGGGGGATTATGGTGTGAGGTTGTTTTTCAGGAGCTGGGCTTGGCCCCTTAGTTCCAGTGAAAGGAACTCTGAATGCTTCAGCATACCAAGACATTTTGGACAATTCCATGCTCCCAACTTTGTGGGAACAGTTTGGAGCTGGCCCCTTCCTCTTCCAACATGACTGTGCACCAGTGCACAAAGCAAGGTCCATAAAGACATGGATGACAGAGTCTGGTGTGGATGAACTTGACTGGCCTGCACAGAGTCCTGACCTCAACCCGATAGAACACCTTTGGGATGAATTAGAGCGGAGACTGAGAGCCAGGCCTTCTCGTCCAACATCAGTGTGCGACCTCACAAATGCGCTTCTGGAAGAATGGTCAAAAATTCCCATAAACACACTCCTAAACCTTGTGGACAGCCTTCCCAGAAGAGTTGAAGCTGTTCTAGCTGCAAAGGGTGGACCGACGTCATATTGAACCCTATGGATTAGGAACGGGATGTCACTTAAGCTCATATGTGAGTCAAGGCAGGTGAGCAAATACTTTTGGCAATATAGTGTATATATATATAAATAAAACAGACAGTTTTTATATAAAGTACATCAGAATGTTCTTTCAAAGAGTTTCTGCCTGCGTCTTGATGCTGCTGTGGCCCAAATGTCCGTTAGAAAGCAGCTTTCACTCTGCCTGATTTGAGTAGAGGATGACTAAGTGTGTATATTACCTGCATGTGTGTGTTTGTGTGTAGCTTATCAGCATATATGAGTCACTCATCGGGCTGCAGAGAAAGTGAGGTCTGCAAACAAGAACACGGTGCTTTTTAAAGTATACAGAACTTTCTTCCTGACCTTTGTGTTTTTTTCCACCCTCATGCTGCGACTGGACTCTAATAAGGTCCCCAAAGCTGAAGACACCAAAAAATGGAAGGTGTGGCCGACCGGACCCTTGGTCATGTCTTCTCTTTGGATCTCATTAGTTTATTTTTATTATAAGAACTCCATTCCTCTTTTTTTTTCTTTCTCCATCGCTCCCCCCCCCCCCCCCCCCCCATGCTGTGCTTGTTCTTCTCTCATCTGTCTGAATTCCCCTTTAGATTTTTCTCCAAGCTTTTTAGAAATGTAAGATCAATAACCTCTTGATCCGATTGATTACGAGCTGAATGAACTCCAACTGTCAATTGATCCTCTGTGGCCTGCCAGTCACCTGGCTCCTGCTGCTGCAGAATATAAATGACCGTCTGTCCAAAGCCCTGCATTCTCATGGGGGCTGCAGGAATCCATGGTGTTTAGAGGTCGGATTGCCTCAAGCACCAAAAAACTCCCGACCGCAGGTGTCATTAAGTGGATGACAAGCCCTCCCTGGTTTTTGCTCATGAATTTGTGTTTCCTTTTATTGTATCATTGCCTGAAAGTTTTTTTTTTATCACCATAATCAGTGTTTCATTCTATGGATAGATTTTTTTTTGTCCAGAATTGGTGCAAGCAAAAAACATAGTTTATGGATCAGAATGAAAAAAAAAAAATGCAATCCAGACTTTGAAAAATGTTTTGAGGGTAACTTTGCTCTTTTCTTTTTAAAATTTTTTTTTTCTGAATTTATTTTTTCGCATTTTACATTTTTAAGTTGTTGTTTTGTTTTTTTGTTTTTTACTTTTTTTTAAACAAATTCAATATTTTCAATTTATTTTTTTCAGATTTCTTTTCGTCACACTGAGTTTTACAAATAGTATTCTTTTGAATTTGTGTGTTTGTTTTGGCGTTGAAGTGAAGGGGAATATTATCTGCAGAATGCAATTTAAAGGGAAAGCAAGACTCAATCCGAAAAACAGAAAAAAATGAAAATTTAAAATCTGAACAATTTTTTTTTATGTTAAATATTGAAAAAAAATAAAAAATTTTATATTTATATACAAAAATTAATGAAAAACGATTATTATAAACGATATATTTGAAAAAACAACAAAATCTGAAAAACAAACAGCAGATTAACTCTAAAAGTCTTTTTTGATGAAAATTATTTTGTTTCTGGATTGCTTTTTTGTTTTTCAATTAAAAAAATATTATTTCAAATTTTCATTGACAGTATTTTTGCCTGCAAAAATAATGGGACAGATTTTCCTCCATCCTCTTCCTGTGTCTGGTGTTTACCACTTCATCACTGTCTCAGAGCCTGTGCAGCTCATAAGCTAAATCTTTTTTAAAAAGTGCTCTTGTCTTCTCTGTTGCAGGATGACTACATCCCCTACCCACGGATAGAAGAAGTGAGTCATTTCTCCAACAAACATAAACACCTTTCTGATATGCAGCCTGTAAGCAGGTGGTTTGCAGCATAGATGTGGAAATCAAATCCTGCTTTATGTTTACATCTAATCCACAAAAATATTTTACTTACTTTAAACAACAAACTTCTCTCTCCATGATCTGCTTCTCTGTTCTCCATTTTTCATTTGGATGAAATAATAGCTGCATGAATCATGACTGCAGACATGATAGAGGAGAGCAGGAGGCGGGGTTACCAATCTACTCGCTCTGGAGAGCAGAGTTCGCTGCTTTTAGATGTTGTCTCCAAAGTCTCCAGTAGCAGAAAAAAGTCTCTAGATTTGGCGCTAGGAGCTTTTTTGAAATCAAAATGCTAGACGAAACCGTGGAAACCCTCAGCCAATCATTGGCCACTCCTACCTGGATCCCATTTGAGCGTAATTCCCCTCTAAACCATAGGGTGGCAGCAGAGATTGTGTCAAGTGAAATGTTCTAATTTTACACTTTAAAGGTATACTATGCAACCGGTGTTGATTTTCCAGCGAGGCTCCCCCCAGAGGGCGAAAGTAAAAGTGCACTGTTGTAAATATGCACAGCTGTTCTCCTGGTTTCTCCGTCAAGCCAGGCGCGGTTGTTTTGAGCTTAGCAGACAGGCGAACGCAACGAATGACTAACACAGTGAAAGTATGAACATGCACACAGAGAGAGAGAAATCATTCCAATGTTACTTACAATCGCATCAGCAGAAACGCAAGGTCCGCGTCAGCCTTGCAGCCTTCTTTTTATTTTAGCTCTCGCCATTCGGATAAAGCTTGCCCGATGTTCACCCGTGTAGGACTCCTCTCTCTGTCCAGAGCCCTTTTCCTCTTTCTTGCCTGCTCCGACATGGGCTTTCGCTGTTTCCTCGTTGGTTCCGCCATGATAACTGCACAAATATCGCCACTGCGCTAGCAACGAGCATGCTTTTAACTGGGGGCGTGTAGCAGTTCTCGCCGTAAAGCAAGACCGACTCTCGCGAGACTTCTGAGCCTGTGGGTGCGGGCCGAGGGCTCCTGCAATTGCAAGTACGGTATTTCCCCCACAGACCACCAGGGCGGTTCAACCTGAAATGACTCATTTAATGATCCAAAACGTTATGGAACACATTAATTAACTGAAAAATGTTGCATAGTATGCCTTTAATTGTTCCTATAATAACAATAAACTGTTAAATACAGAATTAATGCTGTTTTCAAAACTAGCCTTTGTGTTTAAGGAGAGAGAAGAAAAAATTATGTGTGTCTGTTGTCTATGTAACTAGAGATAAAAACAACTAAACCCATGAATATATGTAGCCTATTTGTTTACGTACCTTTATTAGTATTATGCAGAACAATTATTGATAAAAATATATTGGATATTTTTTCTTCAGAAATTGATAAGAAACTCCCTAATTGTCTTTTGAATAACTGCCTGTTCAAAACCATCCTGCCTGTGCTTTTAGCATCCCCCAAATATACTCTGGTCTTTACCTTTTCTTCTGATGCCTTCCTTTTCTCATCAAGGTTTTAAAACTTTGACTCTCATCCATTTGCAAAATATACAGTTAGACCTGAAGCTGGAAACCAGAACTAACTGGATACATAAATACAAGAAGTTTGCATGCAGGGCGAGAAAAAGCCAATAGATGAGATGTTCCCGCTGGAACTGGAAGCAGAGCGAAGATCCTCCCCAATGCCTTTGATTCAGGGATAGATGTTTAAACATGTGAGTTTATTTATTAGCAAAGGCTTTAGGGATATCTAGTTTCTTTATTAGTGAAATGTGGATGTTGAGCTCGTTTATTATCATGTTGGTGCAGCGTAGATTGGCACTGGAATTTTCTGCTACATGTTCATTTTCAGCCACCTCTCAGTTCCTTTCTGATCACACCTTTAACATTCCTAACACTGTTGCAAACTGGAAGGAAATAATAACAGGGGAAAAAATGTATCTGACCTAAATATCAAGACAATGTGAGATATTTTACAATTCTGTTTTAGAATTAAAAGCAGTAAGGTTTCTTTTTAAGTTTCACAATGAGGGAAAAAAAAAGTCTCAATTATTTTGCATCTGTTTTCCCTCCTTTAGCTTAATTTATTTCACTCTCTTTTGTCTTTCCTCACATTAATGTTACAGGTCCTAGAGAAAGGTGGACCATATCCCCAGGTCATCCTGCCCCAGTTTGGGGGCTACTGGATTGAAGATGCAGAAGCCCCAGCAGGGACCCCTTCCTCCTCAGAGTCCAGTTTCTGTGAGGAGGAGGACGGAGATGAGGGCATGAGCCCCGGCGGGGCGCACAGCTACCGCCTGGAATGTAACAGCACGGCCCGAGCCTACCGCAAACACTTCCTTGGCAAGGTAAGCATGGGTGTTTGCATAAGTGCCAGCAGCACCGCGCTTCACGGGGCGGGTCTGTTATTTCTTTGACCTTAGATGTTTCCCTACTTTCATACTTGCAGGAGCACATGAACTACTACTGCAGCGGCAGCAGCATTGGTAACCTCATCATGTCTCTGAAACACGAGGAGGCTCAGAGCCAGGAGTTTTTGCGCATCATGCTCAGGTACAGATAAAGGGATTGTGATTAACTCTGTTTGACATGTTTGAGGAGAGAAAACGGTAACTTTCAGATTTTAAAGCTGCGTATGATGAGCAAAGACAGTAGTTAGTGTTTTTCTCCAGTTCACCAAACCATTGTTCATAAAACAGATGTAAATATCAATTACTGCATTTATAAAGTTGATTTGTAAAGACAATTTAAAGTTGTGTACATGAAAAGAAAAGTACATATCAGCAACATAGGGGCAAATAATTAAAAAGGAATTAGTGAAATAAGATGATTATATTGAATAAAGATGAAATATTTGAGAGAAATTGAAAGGAAGGTTGGAATCTAAACTTAAATAATGTTTACATAGCACAGTCAAAGGATTGGATTCAAAGCAGATGAAGGTTTCAGCAGTTTTATAGATTTCTGGGAGTTTTTTACAGATTAGTGGGACAAAAGATCTACAAGCTGCTTCTCCAAGTTTGGTTCAGTTTATGCAGAATAGACCGTAGAGGTCTGGCTGTTGATCCAATGACAACAATGTCTGTAACTTATTTTGGAGCGAAGCCATTCAGTGATTTATAGACCTACAGATGTATCTTAAAGTATATTCTCCGAGATACAGTACAGAGAGCCTGAGGAAGAACCACAGAAAATCAGGTTGGATGATGTTCTCACTTTCTTAGTTCTAGTGAGGACGCAGGCAGCAGCTCCCTGCTGGCAGATCCTCTTTTTAAGTGAAGAAGTTCCTGCTGAGTCCATCACTACACTGAGATTTAGAGCCTGATTGGTGGTTTCTAGCTTGGTTAACTGAAGCTGTGGGCTTTCAAATGCATATTTGGTCCAGAAATGATTACTTTACTTTAGTTTTGATTCAGGTAAAGAAATTGTTGTCCCATCTGTGCATTGATTTCTTCTCTGCATTTTTCCAGCACTTCCAGTGCTGCCAACATTTCCTGATGCATCATGTTTATTTAGATAGAACCAAACTCTTCAGAATGATAGAATAAATCAACCGTTGCGTTAGAAAAATTTGGCTTCCTGTGGCCTGAGGCATCCTCAAGAAACTTTCTGCTGCACATCCTTGTCAGGCACTAAACAGTCAGGCAAAGGACAAAGGCGCAGTAAAAATATTTATTTATTCTTCCATAGTTCAGAATAAATGGGCCCAAAAGAAGATATACCAAGGATAACGGACCAGAACTGACCTATTACAACGAACACGGGGATATTTAAACACATAAGCTAGCCTACAAGTAATAACTACGACACAAATATGAAACTAAGACATTCAAACACAAAAATGCATTTTAAAACAGTGAATCTTTGAGTTGACAGCTTCTCCAGATTTAAGTCCCCCAGTGTCAGCTGCTTGTTGGATTCCTCCACTTCCTGGTGTTACACCATACTTGATCCCCCAGCTAGTTCTGTCAACCTCAGCATAAGAAAGACAGTTAGTGATCTTCAAATAATGTTCATAGGGTGTTTACTAAACGTATGCGTCCATATTAGCAAACATCCTAAAATAGATTTGCTGTGTGAAAGAAACATTAAAATACTGACACTGAAACACAAGTCATCTCAAGACACTTTACAGTTCACCTGATCATACAGTCAAATTGATTCAAAGTTTTTTTTTTATCTAAGTAAAACCAGTTGATTGCATTGACTCAAACTAAGCATTCTTGTAGCGACAGTGGAGAGGAAAAAGCTTTTAACAGGAAGAAACCTCCAGCAGAACCAGGCTCAGTGTGAGCGGCCATCTGCTGAGGCCGACTGGGGTTCAAGGAGACAGAAGCAGAGACACAACAAGCAGCTGTAAAAGGCGGCCCCGTCCAGGAAACACACAGCCAGGCAGACAAGCTCCGAGCCAGCTTCCATGTCAGAGGATGAAGAGAGCACATCCAGTTAGTCACAGCCAGAGAAACAATGACTTCACTGAAAAACAGGCCAAGCTCCAACATCTAGAAACAAAGGTGTTGATGGCAGCAGCACAGCTGATATTTCTCTCCAGGATGGAGTCACAGCCAAACAGGAACAGACCAGATGAAGCTACTATGAGAAAAAGCAGAACGTTAGAGATTGAACTAACGGATTCTGCAGAGTGGGAGAATAGAGATAGAATGAAGCAGAATGATGAAAAAGGGGTCCCTATGTCCTCCGGCAGTCTAAGCCTTTAGCAGCATAACTACAGAGGTAGCTCAGGATGGTTGGAGGAACCTCCACAATCCTTATTCATCTACTGAAGCATTGTCTTTACTCTTTTGATTTCCTCCTTCATCTCTTCTATCTATGTCAGGTATAGAATTGACCAATCAGTGTTTGCTCTTAATAAAAATGTCCAAGCAGGACGTAAATACAGTAGAAAAGTGAAAACGGTCAGATGGGTCGCAATAGAAAGATAATTTCTGACTTAATGGATCAATTCTTCATTGAGTTAGATAAAACAAAATGAAACCAGAAGCAGGCGGGGAAAATAAGATGATTTTTGAAGCTTTGGGTTTAGTTCAATCAGTGCTTCTATAATTCTCAGTGATCTCACTCTCAGCACCACAGAAAGGTTTTGTTTTTTTGCTTGGTTTTGACAATTATTTGTTTAATTATGATTACATTTAGTGACGATATCTGTATTGTTACATTTAATTCGGTTTCAGTCATTAAGCTGAGTTAAAATGCAGAAAAACGATATTTTAATTCAGTCTCACAGGTTTCAACATAATTCTCTTTTTAACTACCCGCTAATCTGAGGTCCGTCTTTTCTGCAGATCTCGGACCAAAACAGTCCATGACAGGATCTCTTTAGCTGGTATCAGCCAGCTGCCCAGTGTGCCTCAGATTGCAAAGGTAAAACAACCCTTTTTCTAATCTTTGCATTATTTCTTATTATTAGTGAAGCTAGAAAATTATAAACGCACCTATTGTTACATTAAAGTGTTATTGGAACGGTCCTGTTTTCCTATCCTCTGACACGGCGATAGAAACATCTTTGTTTAGCTCATTAGGACCCATTATGCATACTTGAGCTATATTTAATTAAAAGAAATACAAGATATAGCAGTAATTTATAAAGAAAATACAACAGAGGAAATTATAAAGACTAACCAATCAATAAAACATTGTTTCTACTTTCTTTTGAAGAAAATAGAAACAGTTGGCAATACCTGTTGGCAATAGAAAAAACAACAACATTGTTTAATCTAATTAATAAATCGATCAATCTTCATTTGCACAGAACTTTTTATCCAAATTGTTTAACATAAGGTGCTTTGTATATATTACAACAGATGGAGAGATAAATATGTCAAACAAAATCTAGACTGATGCTTGGAAGCTGTTTTGAGAATTTAAAGAAACCACTAAGGAACAGAGACATGAAGACAAACCAAGGACCTGATGGAAACCGACAGCAAACTAAAGCTAAATGGGGGGCTCGTTAAACAACAAACACATAAGGAGACACAGGGGAAAGGAATCTGCTAATTAACAAAAGGATATGATTGAGATAAAAATGATTAAACAAGGAAAAACACAAGAAACAAACCAAGGAGAATGTAACCCATGTCTGACTGTTTCAATGCGGTCAGGTCCCTCCTTATGTGGTGCTAAATCAAAAGGTGTCAAAAGTATTAACGTTTACAACTCAGGGGGAAGTATAAATCCTACTGTTTTTAATCTAAAAGTGTAAAAGAACCATTGTTGGAACTACTAAAAGTTTAAAAGTTAAGTAAGGACAGAAGCTTTACCGCACTACACTATTAAAGGAACATTCATCTTCAATTCTGGATGTGACTTCCTTATGGTTAACCTCTTAACATCCACTACATTTTGGATAACCCTCACCTATTTTGCATACCCAAATGGAAAAGCAAATAATTTAGGAACTGTACGCCCAAATTTCATGTGCAATACATTATTTGAAAGCTAACACCCTCCAATTCCCTAATATATAAATTAAATTGAGTGACTAGAACAGAGACCAACCTCCATCAGTTCAAACATGACTCAAAGTTGTTTTTTTTATTCTCAGAAATGATACGTCTTTTTGAACAGCAGTAATAAAGACATTCTTGAGTTAAGGCAGGTTTTATTGTATCATATTTGTTCTACATCATGTCAACCACAACTGCAGAAAATTTCAGACCTCTAGCTATAACAGTTCCAGAGCTGTGGGGTTTTGGAACTTTTGGTGTCAGCTTGGAGCTGCGCACAATGGCTCCACCAACCGGGTTGCCGGCGACCCGGTTGGTTTTTAGAGGTAAATTTTTTTTTGTTTTATAATTAATGGTAACGAAGTCAAATTTAACTTTGCATCGTCTAGAAAAACTATTTATTTTGATATGTGGTGAACAACAAGTTGGGGCAGCACCAAGTTTAACCACAAAGAAATTGTTTAGATGAAAGAAATAATTTTGATGGTTTTTACTTTTTTTTAAATACCAACAGTCCAAAATGAAAATGAGCTTAAATGAAACAAAACTAACAAGTCTACTTTTAAACTAAATATAAAAATAATAATTTAACTTAATTGATCTCAAATTTTAGAAATGTATGCCTGCATTTAACCCATCCCCTTGGGGAGCAGTGATCTGCCATTGTGTGACGCCCGGGGAGCAGTGTGGGGTTAAGGGTCTTCCTCAGGGACCCAGAGTGGCAGTCTGTGGGAGTGGGGCTCGAACTCAGAACCTCTGGATTCCAAGCGCAATGCCCCAACCACTAGCCGCCTCTCCCTCAAAGCAGGCATTAGCATGAAGAGTCTTCCCAGCGTTCCTTTTTGCAGGACAGGCGACTTACTTCTTGAGCTAGCCAGCCGCTATTTAAAATATAAGGAGTAAGGAGTAAAATTGATTATTGCAAGAAAGTATAGCCAACATTTCTTCTTATGTAACATGACAAAGTATTTGTACTTTTTTACTTTTATACCTCTGTGAAGCAAATACATGTCTGATAACTTGTTTGAAGGTCATTTCATATTATCATCCATGCTCTGACTTCTCAAAAAAAACATGAAGTTACCTGCATGACCAGACAAAAGCATTCTAATGTAATCCATTTGAGTTCAATTAATAAAAATACTTGAAATTATTATTGTTTGCCTAATTATTAGCTATTTGAGGAGGAAAAACTTTTATTTATCATTTTATTTATTACTTTATTATTTGCATAACTTTATTAAGGTTCGGTTCAGAAATAACTGCATAGGTCTATATTACAGCAGGTCTGTGTGCCTCTGATGGCAGACATTTTTTAAGTCCTTTGAAGCGGATGCTCATTGGCGTGCACTATGGGATTTTATGAAGGGTCTCTTTTTGTATCATAAAATAAACCATTATCACTAATTATTAACATAACTTAAAGATTTAAATATTTGTTATAAATGATTTGAAAGATATAACTACGGAAGAGGATTAGGGCCAGTGGAGAAAAAAAAAGTTAGCTGATTTTTAAATTTTATTTCAGTTTAGTAAGGAAAAAAGTCAAAATTCTGACTTATTTCTTAGAATTCTGACTTTAATCTCAGAATTCTGACTTTTTTATGATCAGAATTCTGAGAAAAAAGTCAGAATTTTCCCGTACTAAACTGAAATAAAATGTAAAAATCAGTTAACTTTTTTTTTTTTCCCACTGGCCCTAATCCTCTTCCATAGTTATATCTTTCAAATAATTTATAACAAATTTAAATCTTTCAGTTATGTTAATAATTAGTGATAATGGTTTATTTTATGATACACAAAGAGACCCTTACGGAAGAGGATTAGGGCCAGTGGAAAAAAAAAAAGTTAAGTGATTTTTACATTTTATTTCAGTTTAGTACGGGAGAATTCTGACTTTTTTCTCAGAATTCTGACTTTAATCTCAGAGTTTGAACTTTTTTCTCAGAATTCTGACTTTTTTATATCAGAATTCAGTCAGAATTCTGAGAAAAAAGTCAGAATTCTGAGATTAAAGTCAGAATTTTGAGAAAGAATTCAGAGAAAAAATTCAGAATTCTGAGAAAAAAGTCAGAATTCTTCCTTTTTTTTTCCAGTGGCCCTAATCCTCTTCCATATATAACAACTGTTTAAGTCCAAGAAAAAAAAGAAAGAATGACGATGTTATGTCACATTTTTATATTTAGAGCATCTATTTAGTAAAAAGAGGTTAAATTGCACTAAAAGTGGGAACAGATATACATTTTTTTACGGGCAGAATATTTATGAGCTTCATTTGAAGACGGTGATATTTGTTTATTTCAGCTGCTATGTGACGACGCCACAGGACTGAAGTTTAACCCCGTCCTCTACCCTCGGGTGAGTTTATCCTCTTAAACACAACTTTCACCTTCAAATTTTTTTCCTTTTTTTAGATGTTAATATTTAACATAAGTATTTCTACCTTTAACTATAACCCCTCACTGACCACATCACTTTATCTGACCCATTATCAGCTTGTTGTTTCACTTGCTCTACCAATAACCCTCCTCATCCACTCTTAAGTTGATGATAAAAGTAACAACTTATGTTGAAACGACTCGACATGATGGATGTGCTGCTCCTACTGTGTTCCCGGTGATGGAGCATGCTTTCAGCCTGCACCTCAGGGGAGGAAAATAAGCCATCTGTGTCTCTGTATGCAACAGATAGAGCTTTTTCCGCCACTGGGAGCCAATGAGGTTTGTCACATGTTGGCCCTTATGTAACATGGAGCCCATAAAGTTGCCCCAGAGGCACATTGGAGCAGAGGAAAATATGCTGTCCTGCTGGCTTCAGGACGCAAAAAGTGTCTCACAAGTTAAAAGAAAAGTCATATAGACGTCTGTTTTTGTTTTGTTTTTTATATCCTTGCCCAGGCCTCCCAGCTGATAGTTGCCTATGACGAGCATGAGGTGAACAACACGTTTAAATTTGGAGTCATCTACCAAAAATTTGGACAGGTGAGTAGTTTCTCTCCAAGGCAACTTTATTTAAGTACCTGTTGGCAAAAAGCACCTCAAATTGCTTAATTTAGATAATTGGATTAATTGGATTAATCATGATGAATTTGTTATTGAAAAAATCATCAAATAATTTAGTAATAGATTAATATTTAGCATGAGTGATGGACTCTAAAACATGCCTTTAGCAGACATTCAGCAACCTATTTAGAGCAGTAATTATTTTGCATTTAAGATAAAAAAAAAAACATTTTCTTCTGTCAATATGCTCTATCCAGAACTCCTAAAGTGGAAAAGTTTTAGTTTTTAGCTGGTTTGATTTTGTATCCACTTATTAATTGATCAAAAAAACAATCGTCAGATTTTGCTAAATAATTATTAGATGCAGCCCTACTAGATACAAATACATAGAAGTTCAACATACCATTTATTACCTTACCTTTATAGAGATAATTCGGTCAGATCATACAGTCTAATTTGTTCAAGGTTTTCGATCTAAGTTCCAAAAAAAGAAAATTAATAACAATCCAGTGGACTTTGTTTCCAAGTTTGAAGACATTTCGCTTCCCATCCAGGAAGCTTTTTTAATTCAGAATTTTAGGAATAGAGATGATCATCATTGCAGCCCCAGGCCCTGTACAGGACAGCGGAGGACCTCGCCTATTCAGCCAGGCCAACAATTCCCTTTAACGACCCCCCTTTCAGAGACATAGACAGGTATGGAGTATTGCAGGCTAACAAAAGAAGCCAAACAACCCCCATTCCAAAGGGGTGGACCCGTTAGTCCGTTTCTATTTGCATGTTTTCAAAACAAAAACAAGGTTTTGTTGGGCTACTATATAAAACCTCAAACTCAACATTATTCCTGACATTTTGAATTGAAAAGCTTCCTGGATGGGAAGCAAAACGTCTTCAAACTCGAAAACAAATTCCAGTGGATTGATTTTAATTTTCTTTTTTTGGAATCACTATGACCTGGATGACTGATAATCTTCATCAGCATATTATTCTATCTAAGGAAAACCAGCTGATTGCATCGACTCATTGACTCAACAGCAATTCCTCACAATAAGCATGCTTGTAGCGACAGTGGAGAGAAAAAAAACCCCTTTTAACAAGAAGACCTTCAACCTCTCAGTGTAAGCAGCCATCGGCTGAGACCGACTGGGGTTCAAGGAGACAGAAGCAGACTAAGAAAAATAACATAGAATCACTGATTTATAAATGTTTTATATGTTAGAAAAGTCAACATAAACTAGTTCCACAAGGGGCTCTGTCTGGGTAAGAAACAATTAAGCAGACAAGCTACAGTATGTGCTGGTTTTCATGTCTTAGGGGTGAAAGGGGGGACATCCAGTTTGTATCAGTAAAAGCTGAGCCCATAATGTCTAGGAAAAAAACAGGACTGAACACTAGAAATCAGGCTCAACCGTATCATCGCTATTCCAAAGAGAAGACAGCAGCAGCCCAGCTGATATTTCTCTCCAGGATGGAGTTACAGTCAAACAGGAACAGACCGATGAAGCTACTATGACAAGGAAAAAGAAGAGCGAACATAAAGTTATGAGTCAAACTAAAAAAATTATGAAGCAGACTTATGAAAAGTTGTCTGTATGTCCTCCAGCAGCCTAAGTCTATAGCAGCATATCCAAAGAGATAACTTGTGATAACCTGAGCCACCTTAACTATAAGCTTTATCAAAAAGGAAAGTTTAAGCCAACCCTTAAAAGTAGACAGGGTGTCTGCCTCAAAGACTAAAACCGGTAGTTGGTTCCAGACTTTACAACTTTTAATCCAAGAACTTGGAAAAATCAACTTATATTTAAATGGTTTTTATCCTTATTTCAGAATGGGAGTAGTTCTGCAGTGTTTCAGGAAACTTATTATAGTTTTTTGGAGCATAGTTTTCTGCTTCACTGTGTTTTGTTCAAAGATTGACTTAGTGTATCTAAAAGGTCTTGATGGTTTGTAGCTGTGGAGAGGATCAAAGATGTAACGATGGCTTTAGCGAGTGCTGTTTATACCATTAATGAGATTTGGAGCTCTATTCGCTGAGTTACAGGCATAGTTAGGCAAAGTACCCAAGCATTTTACTCAAGTAAGAGTAACACTTATTTCACCTTCTTTATGGTACCCTCAGAAGAATATTGATTAATTATGTGGTCTTTAAAATGAATGAAATAGTTTTTTTAAGATTTAGATACTGGTGCATGACACCTCAAGATTTCTAACCTTGTCGGAGGTTTCCATGTCAACAGACTGAAGATGGAAACTGATTTTTAATTTTTGTTCCTTTGTTCCAAGAACTAATACTTCAGTTTTATTTTCAACTGAAGAAAATTTGCTCACATCCATGGCTTAATTTTTTCAGCCCATTCAATAAGTGACTGAAAGTTACTGTGGTCTGAAAGAAAACCACTAATATACATCTGTGTGTCATCAGCGTAACCATGGTAATCCATTTCGTTACTATGTAGAAAAAGAGTAACCTGACTCCGCCAGATGGATTTGCTCCGCATATCCATCTGGAAACCTTCCGTTGAAGTAATTTTGGGAAGTGGCGAAAATACTGGTTAGCTGATTGGCCTATGTTGGTGATAGACGGGCCAAATAAACCAATCAGATCAACGAAGCATATGACGTACTAACAGAGCGACGACGAAAACACAACCACAAGCCAGGGTGCTCTTGCCGAAACCAGTCGGGAGAAGAGCAAAAACATCTTTTCCTCTGAGAAAAGCCTCCAGAGCAGTGTTTTGCTCTTCTTTCAGTGAAGAAATACTCTGTAATTCCGATAAAACTTGCTCGATAGCCACGCTAACGCTAGTTTCATCGGCTGAAGCCGCCATGTTCTTTAGACTGAACTGTCGCGCTTCTCGTTGCGTCACACCTCAACCCGCCTCAAAGCCAACGCTGATTGGACGTTCGTTTGGTGAACGGCTCCAAATTTTCTTTAACGGAGAGTCTCCAGACTGATTAGCGAGTGAAACCTTGAAAGCTCGCGAGATCAGGATGGTCTCACGAGGCTAGAAAAAGAGTGGAAGCATGTAAATATTGAAGAGGTGAGGACCAAGGATGGAACCTTGGGGAACACCACGCATAGATTTATCTATTTTTTTTTGTTTTGTTATTATACACAAACATTTCAATCAGAGTGACCTGATTTAAGCCATCTGAGCACTGAACCAGAGGGCTGGTCATACTTGGTCTTTACTGACATCAAGTAGCTCCAGTAAAAGATCAATACTTTCCAGAGAACAGTTTCAATACCCTGATGTTCACAAAAGCCAAACAATACAGCCTTTTCCCTCAACCGAACGTCTGAACATGCTGCCTATGCATATGTCCTCATCTACTTTCTTTTTTCATGTTTTGTGTTTGGACCACTCAGACATCGGAGGAAGAGTTATTTGGGAACAACGAGGAGACCCCCGCTTTCAAGGAGTTCCTCAGCGTCTTAGGAGACACGATTGAGCTGCAGGATTTTAAAGGGTAAGAGCTGGTTTAAATTAGGACGAGAGTAAAACTGATATTATTATAGCAAATAAACAGTAGAAAGAGAAAAGGTAGTGTTAGGATAGAAAGGAATAGCAGGATTTAATTACTGTAATCTTGTCCTGCTGTTTCAGACTCAGCAGGCAAAAAGGGTAGAAGTGCTTAGTGAAACTGATCTGAGGAAAAAAGTGCCACATGGACATGAAACTGGAGCTTTGGATATTTTTTTTTTGCACAGATAATTTCTTACTGGTCTAAAGTATACTCTTACACCTTTTTTAAAGGCTTAGTCAGCATTACACAAGAATATAACAAGTAGATGACAGTTTATCAAAGGGATGGTTCAGGATTTTCTTTTTTGCAAAATTGAAACATTTTAAGCAGTTAATAATTCACCCACTTTTGGTAATTCGCTTATTTATTTAGTGTAAATCTGTATTATTTGGTTCCAGAAGCAGAAGATAATCCTCAACCTGACAGGGGCAGAGACGTGCAAACAACTGTCTCACAAATAGTCCAAGCAGTTCATGTAAAAGCTGCTTCAGAACCTCTAATCCACTGTTGTTTGCAGTGGCTGCTTTTCTGAAACGTGTTTAAAACGTGTGATGCAGTCATCCAGATCTTTGAAAGAGGTTAAAAAGAGAAATAAAACCTCACTTCAAACAAAGGAGGGTTCAGATTTCCGTTTTGTAAAACAAAGAGTTCAGCATTAAATCTGATGCACAGTCAGTTTTAACCAATTCAAACCTAAGAAAACATCTGTTGGTGCAATCTGTGGGTGAAGTCCATCTGCAGAACAGCACATTTAAAACATTCCTCTATGGGTCTGCAAATGAAACATTTTCAGTATCAAAATGGAAAAATCCAGATGTTTTATTTTTATTTTTCAGCCTTTTATGGAGCAAATATAGTGGATTAAGGGCCTGACCTTCAAATATTCTCAATAAGGAAAGCTAAATTGCATAAGCAATTGTTTTTATTATGCGCCACAGTATAAATAGGAGTTGCAGGTATTCCACAAAAATTGCTGCACAACAGACGTGGATAATCGAGGCACAGAGAGTAAAAACTCTGCCCAGTTTTCCTTCATCCTGTCCACTTAATCAGGTTGTTAGCCCTCAGTCTGTGTTTTAGAGCTGGAAATGCTACAGGTGCTGGTCATAAAATTAGAATATCATGAAAAAGTAGATTGATTTCAGTAATTCCATTTAAAAAGTGAAACTTGTATATTATATTCATACATTACATACAAACTCATATATTTCAGATGTTTATTTTGTTTAATTTTGATGATTACAAATGACAACAAATGAAAATCTCAAATTCATCATATCAGAAAATTAGAATATTGTGAAAAGGTTCAAAATTGATGGCCCCTGGTGCCACACTCTAATCAGCTAATTAACTCAAACCACCTGCAAAAGCCTTTAAATGGTCTTTCAGTCTAGTTCTATAGGCTACACAATCATGGGGAAGACTGCTGACTTGACAGTTGTCCAAAAGACGACCATCGACACCTTGCACAAGGAGGGCAAGACACAAAAGGTCATCGCTAAAGAGGCTGGCTGTTCACAGAGCTCAGTGTCCAAGCACATTAATAGAGAGGCGAAGGGAAGGAAAAGATGTGGTCGAAAAAAGTGTACAAGCAAGAGAGATAACCGCACCCTGGAGAGGATTGTGAAACAAAACCCATTCAAAAATGTGGGGGAGATTCACAAAGAGTGGACTGCAGCTGGAGTGAGTGCTTCAAGAACCACCACACACAGACGTATGAAAGACATGGGTTTCTGCTGTCGCATTCCTTGTGTCAAGCCACTCTTGAACCACAGACAGCGTCAGAAGCGTCTAAAGAGAAACAGGACTGGACTGCTGGTGAGTGGTCCAAAGTCATGTTCTCTGATGAAAGTAAATTTTGCATTTCCTTTGGAAATCAAGGTCCCAGAGTCTGGAGGAAAAGAAGAGAGGCACTTCATCCACGTTGCTTGAAGTCCAGTGTAAAGTTTCCACAGTCAGTGATGGTTTGGGGTGCCATGTCATCTGCTGGTGTTGGTCCATTGTGTTTTCTGAGGTCCAGGGTCAACGCAGCCACATACCAGGAAGTTTTAGAGCACTTCATGCTTCCTGCAGCTGACCAACTTTTTGGAGATGCAGATTTCATTTTCCAACAGGACTTGGCACCTGCACACAGTGCCAAAGCTACCAGTACCTGGTTGAAGGACCATGGTATCCCTGTTCTTAATTGGCCAGCAAACTCTCCTGACCTTAACCCCATAGAAAATCTATGGGGTATTGTGAAGAAGAAGATGCAATACACCAGACCCAACAATTCAGGAGAGCTAAAAGCCACTATTAGAGCAACCTGGGCTATCATAACACCTGAGCAGTGCCACAGACTGATCGACTCCATGCCACGCCGCATTGCTGCAGTAATACAGGCCAAAGGAGGCCCAACTAAATACTGAGTGCTGTACATGCTCATACTTTTCATGTTCATACTTTTCAGTTGGCCAACATTTCTATAAATCCTTTGTTTTTATTGGTCTTCAGTAATATTCTAATTTTCTGATATGATGAATTTGAGATTTTCATTTGTTGTCATTTGTAATCATCAAAATTAAACAAAATAAACATCTGAAATATATGAGTTTGTATGTAATGTATGGATATAATATACAAGTTTCACTTTTTAAATGGAATTACTGAAATCAATCTACTTTTTCATGATATTCTAATTTTATGACCAGCACCTGTAATTGTTGGTACTAATCTTTAAAGAGAAATTTGACTTTCTGGAGCTGTATTATCCACCTCTGCTGCACAGATGCTAAGATGTGCAAACTGATTTTGTTCTGCCCATTAGAATATTGTTCTACTTGAAGTTTGATAGCGGCTATGAAAGGAAGATGAGGTTCAAAGCCATGGAGATGAAGGTAATAATTATAAATATATTAAACCAAATAACACTAGATAGTATTTGAATAATGTCTCAGAGTGCTACAAAAACAAAAGTACAACAAAATAACAATTTTGTTACATCAACATTTTTTTAAACATTTCATTAAATAAATGGAAGTGTGAGGGACCAAACTTGAATAAGGACAAAAGGTGTTCAAAAATAAAAAATAAAAACTTTCATTTAATAGTGTCAAAAATATTTAACAAAGGCTCAAAAGGAATAGAAATTAGCTTAAATAACAAATAACATGGATTTAGGCCCAACTCAACTGAGATCAACTGAACAGAAACTAACTCAAACAAAAACTGACCTACTGATAAAGAACAGAGGCGGCTTAAATAGGGATGGAATAACCTAAACGTGCCACATGAGGGAGGCACAATAACAGAGAAGCAATAAATACCAAAAATTTTAAAAAGTCCATACAAAGCTAAAACATTAATTTAAAAAAAATTCTTCTTCTCACAAATAATTGAATATGAAGGTGAGAGAATAACTAAAGTAAACTTCCCCACTAAAAGCCCCCCCTCAGTTCTTGGAAAGTGGTTTGTTCCTGGATGCTTCCACCTCCTGCTGATCTGAATTTGCAGAACCTCAAAGAAAAGAACAAGTGTGAGTTTAATCATTCGGACATTATTAAAGTTTGCACCTATTAGAAAAATATACATCTAAATAAAATACCAAAGTAAATGTGGAACTAAATACGAACTATGAAACTATACAAACACTTTTTGGTGGATGTAGAAGGATCAACCACAGGAGGAAAAAACTTATTGTGACTGGATTCACTCCCCCATGTCTTTTTGCCCCTTTTAATATAGTATTTTTTTTTTTTTTGCTTTTTTATAAACACAGCACAGTATTGACATTCAGTCATTTTTGTCTAATTGTACAAACATTGCCTATCATCCAGCAAAATGAATTTCTGCTCGCCTGCATAGACGGTTTTTCATTATCAATGTTCTTCTGCTATTGTTATTTTTAACTGTCTCATCATGTTTACATGCACAAAGAATGGCTCTCCATCCTCAGGCATTGTACCAATGCCTCCTCTGTGTAATTATATGGATCTTTTTCAAGTCAGAGGACTTCTCAGTGCTTTAAACGACATTCTGTCATTCACCCATTCACTCACTGGTGGTGGCAGGCCACATTGTAGCCACAGCTGCCCAGAGAAAGGGCTGCCGTACTGGAAATAACTGGGGTTCAAACCACAGAATCTCAGGTGGAAGGGCGAACTCACAAATCCTACACCGCTGTTGTAACAATGGCCGCCGATATTTTTGTTTCTCAGTTTATTTTACTTTTGAAAATACTAAAAAAAAAAAAAAAAAAAAAACACTTTTGATTTGGAAAATAACTTACACAAAGTAAATATTAACATTTGCACATCCTCCACCCATGAAAATGTGCAGTTAGAGTATGATCTGCATATTTAATAAGGCACACACGGCTAAAAAGCTGCAAATACCAATCCATTTGCACCGTCTATGAAGATCTGTGCTGCAAGCACAGATATGTTAGCGCCTGTTTTAATTCAGGTAAACCTGTTGAGGATTAGGCACTGATTAAGCAATTACATTTTTTTTATTGCATGCATTTATTTTTAATTATTTGCTCTGTTTGTGATTTCCCGGTTTTCTGTCCATGTCTCACAGGAAAATCATTTTTGTTGAGCCAATTCCCACCTCAGTTTCCAATGCAAATAAGATGCTAATATAGTGAAAGTTTTAAGTTTAAGAAAATATATGAGAAATAAATTTCTGCTTTTCAATTAATGGCTAAAAAATATGAACAGAACCTAACTTAGAGATTTCTGAGCGATTCCTTTAAGAACAAACTTTATGGAGGCAGATTGATGACTGAATGTTGGATACAACACAAAACACGAGCTTTGATGGTGTTCCAGGTTCCGCGGTGGGTTGGACGTCTCCCATGGACAGACGGGATCTGAATCCGTCTACACCGTCTTCAGACAAAGAGAGATTATGTTCCATGTATCCACTAAGCTCCCCTTCACAGAGGGAGACGTGCAGCAGGTACAAGGCTGGAATACCGGCTCTAACTTCTATCTCAGCTCTTTCAATAAACTTTCTGTTTTAATAAAGAAATGATCTAGGTGAAAAGTAAAAAATAGTTTTTTATTGATCAAATCCTCTTTAGCTCCAAAGGAAAAGACACATCGGAAACGACATTGTGGCTGCAGTCTTCCAGGAAGAGCCCACGCCATTCGTTCCAGACATGATCGCATCCAACTTCCTGCACTCTTATGTTCTGGTGCAGGCTGAGAACCCCTGTACCGACCACACAACCTACAAGGTAAAGGGTCGGGTTCGGGTTTGGACTTTGATTGCAACACCTTCGCTCTGTTTTCATTTCCCATTCTGTTACGGGTTTGCTGCTTTGGACTGTTGCATTACTGATGACCCAGTTTCTGCCAAGCCTTAGCTGGCTGACAGGTAGCCTTATGTTGAGGACGAGAATACCTGGTGGTACACGGGGGAGTTCATGGTCGGTGAAATCAGGATGCATCTTTCACTAAACAGCTGCTGAAGCAGGCCCTTTACAACTGACAGAAATGTAACTTAGAAAATGCAGCATAGAGCTAGAGCTTACAGATTAAAAGTCAGCTTTAATTGTACATCTATCTATACTTTTCTATGCTATCTTTGTGTTCTTCAAGCCTGTTAGTAAATCGAGAGAAGGGTGAGGATAACAACAGTGTTCACTAATGACACACTCAACACCTCCAGTTGAACTAGTTTAAATTACCATCACCGATATTTATTATATCAGACACTAATAACTAAAATAGCTGTAATATGTAGGATTAAAATGGTGTTATGTCGCTCAAAATCCCTCTGAGATCTGTCTGCTTTGTTAACCATGAAAAAAAACCTTTTCACTATAAAAAAAATTGGCCAGTTTTCTTCCCTGACGTCACGTTAAAGCTTTTAATGAGGACCTGCAGCATTTTTTATCCCAGTATAGTGATGCGTTTCTATTCTGTTTCTCCTCAGGTGTCGGTTACAGCGAGGGAAGATGTTCCTCCGTTTGGGCCCCCCCTCCCCAACCCGGCCATCTTCAAGAAGGTGAGGAGTTGATTTTAGCATTGATGTTTTTCCTTCAATACAGAAAATGTTAAATATCAGTTGCACCAAACACTTTTACCGCCAAGTAACTTTAGAAAGAGTACAGCTCGGCTTGCCTTTATGGTCACCACCATGGTGGAGCCATTTCTGTGAACCGACCAGACAGGAAGACAAACTGTTTGTTTCATTACTCACATCAAACTCAGAGTGACCTCAGTATGTAGAACCAGGGAGGTTTTCCTCTCTGTGTTCCCGGCTCGTCAGAGAGACATCAATCTAGAAAGAACTCAAAACTTAAACATTTTACGCTCTAATGTAATTTTGTGGGAAATTACTCCGCATTAGTTCTGCAGCATTAACTATAAGATGGGGAAGCTTTTTGAAGTGTAATTGAAGTGTAAAGTATAAATAACCATTATTTAAATGAGGAAGAGTGACAGTTTATAATTGAGGAGTCAATCGAGCCACATTAACATTTTTTAACAGTTTTAGAATCACAGTTTGCTCCAAAGCGAGCCTTCTTCTGTTTAGCCTTTAGCTGAAATGCTCTACAGCGTCTCTTGGTGGTTAAAACAGAATCAAATTATCCTACAAATAGAATCAAATATCTTAAAGGGAACCTTGATTTTATGTTGGCTTTGGTTCATTTAAGGTCATTTATTCTAAATATAAATTGAAAAAAAGGAGTTTGACTCCCTAGTAGACAATTATCTTAGAGTAACTAAATATTATTTTTTTCAGTGTATTGAGATTAGGATCTCATAATTAATTCAATTAAATTCAATTCAGTTTATTTATATAGAGCCAAATTCACAACACACGTCATCTCAAGGCACTTTACAGTTCAACCAGATCGTCCAGTCAAATTGATTCAAAGTTTTCTATCTAAGGAAAACCAGCTGATTGCATCGACTCATTGACTCGAAATCAATCCCTAGCGACAGTGGAGAGGAAAAACTCCAATTTAACAGGAAGAAACCTCCAGCAGAACCAGGCTCAGTGTGAGCGGCCATCTGCTGAGGCCGACTGGGGTTCAAGGAGACAGAAGCAGCTGTAAAAGGCGGCCCCGTCCAGGAAACACACAGCCAGGCAGACAAGCTCCGAGCAAGCTCCCATGCCAGAGGATGAAGAGAGCACATCCAGCCAGTCACGGGCAGAGAAACAGGACCGCACTGGAAAACAGGCCGATCTCCAACATCTATAAACAAAGGTGTTGATGGAAGCAGCACAGCTGATATTTCTCTCTAGGATGGAGTCACAGCCAAACAGGAACAGACGAGGAAATGCTACTCTGAGGAAAAGCAGAGAGATTGAACTAACAGATTCTGCAGAGTGGGAGAATAGAGATAGAATGAAGCAGAATGATGAAATGGGGGTCCCTATGTCCTCCAGCAGTCTAAGCCTATAGCAGCATAACTATAGAGATAGCTCAGGAATAATGAATTAATTATTTAATTAATTAATAATTAATTGTAATTACGAGATACCGATCTTGTTATTATGATATAAGCTGTCTGATATTTTTTTTTTTTTTTTTTTTGGTGAATGCAATGTGCTTCTGTATTGTTCTTTTGGTGATGTTTTGCTAATGTTTTCATCAACATCTTTTTTTCTATATTAATTGATCATTTCTATTCATTTTAGCTGATGTGTCTCAAATGTTTGTTGTTCTGTAAAGGAAGAAGACAGGATATGGGATTGTGTTCTAGAAAAAGAGGATTTTAGGATTCAGGAACTCACTAAGACATGAGATTTATTGTAACCGCGCTGATAAAGGTCACATTTCTTCATTCCTTCCTCAAAATGTTTCTGTTTTTTCTGAATCTTCCAATCAGGGTCCTGAGTTTCGTGAATTCCTGCTAACAAAGCTGATCAACGCTGAGAACGCCTGCTACAAATCGGATAAATTTGCCAAACTGGAGGTAACGCACGCCACACACTCAGCACACCTTCGATTACACCCCGCCGCCCGGCAGCCGGAGACCCTTCATCTAATCTCTGTGTGTGGCTGATGTGATTGCAGGGACGCACCCGAGCTGCCCTGCTGGACAACCTGCACGATGAGCTGCACAGACAGAGCCACGCGGTGCTGGGGCTCGAGCAGGTGGGGGAGGAGGACAAGCTGGAGAACGGCGGCCATGGGGGTCTGCTGGAATCGTTCAAGGTGAACAAGAAAAAAAAAAGGCAATCTTTTCACAGCCGTGTGACATTTCTTTAACACCATCATTACAGCACCAGGTCACATAAATGCCAAAGTAAGGTGTGAAACTCTCAGTATCGCCACTACTTCTGCTTTCCTGAGTCCTCAGACTCAGAGGAAATCAGAGCCAATCTAACATCCTGAAATGTTCTTATTTCCTTTCTTTGTTGCCTCGGTTTTCCAGACGGATGCGGAGATGACAAAATGGTGTGAACGCTGTGATGATTTGGCTCTCTTCTACTTTTTGCAGGAATTGTGGACAGGTGCTTTGCAGTTTCTGCAGACAGTCCCAGGAGGGGCTCTCCTCATTGCTTTCATTGCACTGGCAGTTTATCACCTCTCTGTATCACTGTGAATGAATGAGAAGATATGTCACAATAAAGCAAAAGATCGTCCTGTGAGGTGTTGTTTGTGTTCATGCTTTCTAAATATATGAGAGGAAAGATGAAAACATGAAAGAAATATTTGTTTGAAATATTGATATATCAGAAAATCAGAAGATTAGCTATTAAGATTGGAAGTTTACAATAAAATCAACTAGATTTAAAAAAAATAAAACCTATGCTTCCAACTATTCTACGCACTACATCTTCCATGGTGAATGCTGCCCTCTAGTGGACTTAATTTCTAACTACATGGATTTCAAAAAAGTAAAAAAAAAAAAAAAAACAATCTACTGGACTTTGTTTCCAAGTTTGAAGATATATTACAGAAATAGAGTTCGAGGCTTTATACAGTAGCCCAACAAGCCCTTGTTTTTCTTTAGAAAATATGCAAATTGAAACGGACGAACGGGTCCTCCCCTTGGAACGGGGGTAATTTGGCTTCTCTTGCTGGACTACTGCACAAAGCCTCGAACTCAACTCTTAATTCTGACATTTTGAATTAAAAAAACCTTCCTGATGGGAAGCAAAATGTCTTCAAACTTGGATGCAAAGTCTATTGGATTGTTTTTTTAAACTCTTTTGGAATGACTCTGAGAATCTTCACCAGCGCCTAACTACATGCAGAGTATTTCACACCTAATCAGATAAAATTTCCTTTTCGGTTTTTCAGTCACAGTTTTCCTGTCCCTTTTCTTCTCTCCCTTCCAACACCTTTTGTCCTCTAACATTCCTCTCTTTTCACTCCCTCTTGCTGATTCACTCGTTATTCGCCTCCTTTCTCCTAACCCAGAGGGCCATGCGTGTCAGGAGCCACTCCATGGAGACGGTGGTGGCTTCCCATCGTCACCGGAGCCCCGGGGTGGAAGGTGGGGTCCCTGCCAGCCTCAGCGGAGGGGGGCTACCACAGAGCACCAGTGAATGCACAAAGAGCACCTTCACTGTAAGTTGCCTGGACTAATTAGGCAGAGAGAGAAGAGGAAATAAATACGTTTCTAGCTTTTCTTAAGCTTTCATTCTCAGACTTTTATGTGTTTATATTGCAAACATCTTTTGGATATGAGTTAGACCAAATAAGAGACTTTAATTAGAAAGAAAGAAGTCCTAATCTGCCATCTTGGATCTTTAGCCTCCTGCTCTGTCAGCCAAGTCTCCTCTAAAGAGTCCAGTGAAACGGCGCTCAGGCCTCTTTCCACGTCTCCACTCCAGCACAGACACCCCGTCAGACAAACACACGCGCAGGTCAGTTCTTTATGCTTTTAATGGGTGTGTTCGATTTCAAAGGCTGCGTCCTCCAAGGACCCGGTCTATCTGGACTCGATCCTTTGAGCTCCGTGAAAATAAGACCGGAAGAGTTCTGGCTGTGGATTCAAACAGGACCAGCCTTCCGTGGCTTTTACCACCGTACGATCTGTCGCCTAGCAACCATGAGAGTTGACACACAAAGCAGGAAAAGAATGAATACTGAACTTCTCACTGTTCCGGGTGTTAATAACATTTTCAAGGAGCTTCAACAGCAGTACCGTACCAGAAATAATAGTCCCCACACTGCAGATATATTAGAATCTGTCCTTAAATATCAGCCAAACCCATTTACACAGGGACGGATTAAAACCTTTCAATAAACCAAACATTACCAGCCACATATCTGACTCAATAACTAGTTAAAACAACTATTTTCATGCATTTCAGACAGAAATATTCACATACTTATTCACCACTGTTTGGAGCTAAGTAGGCCTATATTTTCCCTTTTGAGCACAGAGCAGCCGGCTTGCTTGAACTCGCAGTGAATCATGGGATACCCAAGGCTACGTAGGAAACCCCAGACCTGTCCTTTACAGCAGGCAAAAGGAAGGCTGCATTTATCAGCCGCATAACGAGGAGTCTTCCAATCCAAACAGACTGCGGTGTCATGTTATGACGCAATCAGCCAACGAATCTGGCATTCAGACTCTACATACTTCTCATTTTAGCCTTCCTATTCCAATCATTTGAATGCCCGCTGTTTACTGTTATTAGAGCATAAACTCTTTTGAAATATCTCTACCGGTTTTGAGACAAATGAGAAATCATGTAGGGACGTTTTTTTTTAAACTCGACACAGACTGATAGTTGGTATTAAGTTCGGACTTTAATCCCTTTCCACAGATTAATCTCCTGACAGCCACATGTTTTACTCCTCCCGGCCACTAAGTGGCGCACTCGCTTTCCCCTCTCTGTTTGCCAGCCGGTTGCTAGGCCTGCTAAAGCTAAAAACATTAAACTCTGTTTTTAAAAATGTCAGAAAAATGAATACTTCAGATGGGTTTTATTAGTTTTTATTTTTGAAAAAATTGTTGCTGTTTGATAAAAAAAAAAAGTTTTTCCTGAAGACCTGAAATCGGTATGGCCATAATATAAGAATAGACCCCGCATGGACTGTCGTGGCGCAGGAATTACGGGCGCCATCTTGGGGAGGTCGACCTGCTCATAGATATCCTACCCTAATCAGCTGGTTTAAGCAGAACAGAAGAAGGATACCTCAGCATTACAACGTATTTTTGTTTAATTCAACAGACTGTGAACATCAAGGCTCAAAAGGATAACTTTGTGAAGGCATCAAAGCTTTGTAAGACATTGCTAAATAAACAGCAGATATACACTACATAGAATAGAAACTCCCTTCAGTGTCCCACAGTGGAGAAATTGTGGTGCTGCAGCAGCAAAAGATCGCAGCAAGAGTGTTCACACAAATCTGGACCTTGAAAAGTGTATAAAAATATTAGAATAAGTGACAGATTTAAAGAAAATTTCAAACCTATTTTATTTGTTAACAACCACGGCTGACCGAAGTGCTGTAAAGAAAAATAAATAAGTAAAACATAAAACAGTATAAATAAAAAACAAAACAGCTAAAACATGCATTTACATAAAATGCAAAATATAAATAAAAAAAAAAGTAAAAAAAAAAAAAAAATATATATATATATATAAACGTATTCATTAATGTCTCAATGTATTATTTAATTTCTGCCTATATTTATTTGTTTATTGTATTTTTGGGGGCAATTAATTGTATGCTTATTTTTTATTGAGCATTTATTTATTTACGTATTTATTTTTATATATGGCAGAGTTGGTCCTCCATATATGATATATGTTTACATTTCTTATTGGCTGCATCTAAAACTATGAAAGATATTTTCAATTTAAACTTGGATATGAAATAATACAATATAACCTACAATAAGTTTAATTATATCAGTGAACTAGGTCATCAAATCAATTCAGTTTAGTCTGTCCAATAAGCTGCCTGTAGTGTCTTTAAATGTCCAGCAGGTGTCAGTATTCTCTGAGACAGTATCAATGCAGCGTCAATAAAGTTTGGCAAAGTGTGGAAAACATTTAAGATGCCTCATTAACTCATCACTAGTATATATATATATATATGAATAAAAGAATTATAAAAATGTATGATTGGCTGCGATTTGCAACATGCATAGATCCTATCAGAATAATTTATTACTCTTAACCCCTTTAAGAAAATGTAAATACACTGAACCATTTGTTTGTTTTCAGCAAAAATAAAAAAAAATAAACTGTGAAAATTAGTTAAATATTCAGAACTTTAAAGTTGATTAAAATTGATTCTGTTCCTATTGAACAAATTACTCTTAGGTGAAAGTGATCGATGCGGCGTCTACTCTTATATTATGTCTATGGATATATCTGCAGCCTGGAGACCTCCTATGTCATAGTGCTCACCTCATGATGCTCATCTGGTGAAAATGTATTAAAAAGAGTTTATTTACTCATAATTTGGGCATGTAAATAAGATGATCTGCCAATGGAATAAGTGGTTTACCTTAAAATAGGATAATTAGATATTCTGCATTTGAAATAAGAGAAAGAAGCTGTTTTTTTTTATGTAAATAGTCTTATTCCATTGGCAAAGTGTCTCAAATTCCTGTTCATTTATAAAAAAAAATGCACTTAGTTAGATTTCAACCTTTTGTTTTTGAATTAGAATTTTTCACAAATTTAAAACAAAAAAAAATCTTAATCCGTTTCCTTTCACTTCATAATAATACACGCTTGTTAGTAAACATATTGATTTTGTTTTTCGTATGTGACATGTTGAAAGTTTTGAGCCATGTGAGTAGAGCGTTGTATCTGCTAATAGGAGCAGAGTTTGATCTCCTTCATGTTTTGTCTGCAGCGACCATAAACCAGCAGAGATCTGTTCGCATTCCCAAGAAGTAAGATCAGAGACGTCGTCCAATCCCAGCTCACCTGAGATCTGCCCCAACAAAGAAAGGTCACCTGCAAGTTACTGCATTCACTTAGCAAAAATACATATCAATTACTTTGCAGCTTCAGATCATTATCTCAACATGTTTGTCCTGCTATTGTTCTTCCATCAACAGGCTGTTTATTAAGCACAAGGAGTGCAGCAGCGGCAGCAGCTGCAGACCCAACATCTCGCGCTCTTCGTCAAGCACCAGCAGCTTCAGCAGCACCACGGGAGAAACGGAAGCTCTGGAGGAGCTGGAGACGGTGGGTTTGATTTTAGCCCGCTTTATTGACAGGGAACACGGGGGAGGAATTTGGAAAAGGGATCAGAGAGATCAGACGAAGGACACACATTCAGTTAATAGCATTGGAAAAAAGCCCATAATTGCAAAGGTTTGTATAACAGTGGAAAAAGTCGCCATATGTAGGGAGGAATGCTCTCACTCCTATATTGAAGACACCAAACAGTAATTACAAAAACATGGAGCAAGATTCAGCTGGATACCTTTAACGTAAAAGAAGACACACCTTTAATGACCAGAATGTTACGATTTTGGACAGAGAGGACAGATGGTTTAAAAGAGGAGTGAAGGAAGCTATCTTTGTTAAAAGAGAAAGAAACGGGCATGCAGGTGGCGCAGTGGTTAGTGCGTACGGCCCATGTACGGAGGCCTTGGTCCTAGATGCATCCTTTGTTGCATTTCTCTCCTCCCTCTCTCATACCCCCTTTCCTGTCAGCCTACTGTCAGAAAAATGAGCAACTAGTGCTGTCAAAACTCAAAAATTAAAGAAAGTACAATTGTAAAAACTACTTAAAGTATTAAAGTAAAAGTAATGCAGGACAAAATGTTAAGGACAGAAGCTTTACTGCTCTATTAAAGGAACATTTTTCTACAATTCTGGATGATAATTTCCTTAGTCTTCATTGTCTTATCACTAACAGTGTAAAATTAAACTTTGCATCATCTTGAAAAATGACTTATTTTGGTATATGGTGAAAAAGTTAGTGCAGCACCGAGTCCAACCACAAACAAATTGTTTGGATGAAACAAATTATTTTGATGTTTTTTTGTTTTTCATACTAACTGGCCATAATGAAAATGAGCTTAACTGAAACAAAACTAACAAGTCTATTTTTAAAACGTAAGGAGTAGAAGTATAGATAATTGCAGAAAAAGAAATTTTAGGAGTAGAAGTAAAAAGTTGTCTAAAAATAATTACTCCACACTGCAAAAATATAGAAATAAGTCCAAATGTCTTAAATTAATTGTATTTATCCTAAATGTGAGAAGGTAAATAAGATGATTTGCCAATGGAATGAGGATTTTTACTCTTAAAATAAGGCAATTAGATAATATACACTTGAAATAAGACAATGAAATAGTCTTTTGTAATTTTAAATGTAAATTGTCTTGTTCCATTGGCAAAGTTTCTCACTTATTTCCTCAATTCAAGGAAAAATGCACTTATTTAAAAAAAAAATGACTGATCTAGATATAGATTTTTTACAGTACAGTAAAGTATAGATACCCATCATTTTTACTGTGAGTGTTATTTGACTCCTCCGGTTTTAACTCTCACTTTGCCTGCAGGATGTTTGTTTCAGCCAAAAGCTGCAGCCGCCTCTCATCAGACTAATTCCTGGTTTTGCTATTTTCTGATAGGCCAGCCATCCGTCCATCACATCCTCCTCTGCCTTCAGCCCCGCCCTCAGCATTGACAGCCAGGGTTCGGGTACGCCTGTTATCATGTGCCGCAGTCCAACAGGTCAAATGCTTGTATTGGATCTTCGTACGAGTTTGAAAAAGAAATAAAAGGGCTTTTCTTCTGGTTGTTGTTTTTGGTTTAATCTTGACACCTTCTCTTGTGTCCTGCAGATGGGAAAGGCAAAACATCACCCAGGTCCAACTTGAAGTTTCGCTTTGACAAAATGAGCCACTCATCCACAGCTGTGAGTCTGATTCTGCTTCCCTGGACTGGCGATTTGTTTATCAATGTGTAACTTAGAGGAACTTTCTGTCTTTCTCTTCTTTCTTTTAGTCTGAGTAGATCTGAAGGAAGGAAAAGCAGCAGACTTTCTTGATGAAGACGCAGTGAAAGCTGAAGAAATCACAACAATCACCAGAAAAAGGAGGAAAAAAAATCCTTCTTTTTTTTCTCATAACCATAAGCAAAAGGCTAATCTGACTATAGCTGCACCGGAGACCCCGCACACTATAAACGTACTGATATAACTGTGAGTGGAAGTGAAGGGAGGCGGTATGACTGATTGTTCTGATCACTTGAAGGTCTCAGCATGGCTGTAAAACTGTGAGCGTAGACCCGGCTGTAGACTCCGCCGCAGCTTTTCATCTTCCGTATAAATGTAGAAGTTTATGGCCGAACTGTTAGTCCTCGTCCAGTCGAGCACTTTGTGGAAGATCTACAGAGAGCAGCAGGTTCCTTTTACCTTTACCCTTCAATGGTACGTCTGCAAACCGTTCCTCTTCTGCATAGGCTGCATTCACACTGCAGGCCTTAATGCTCAATTCCAATTTTTATTTGTGAAATCCCATTTTTTTGCGGTAATATATGCGACTTGTATGTGATCTCCTGTTTGAACTGCATTCATACAGCTTAAGTGTCCCGCATGCGCAGTAGAGGCACTACGGCGTCACAAGCAAGCGTGCTCCAGAGCATGTGAACGGAGCGCAATTCCTGCTCAGGAGGATGTTCGCTCATTGGCTCCACTGCTCAAAGTTGCGCTAGGACGTTCAGCTCAAAATCCGATCAACTTAAATTTCCTGCAGCTGCGGCGAAATCGCTCCACGTCCGCTAAAATTTTCAGGAGATGGCATTTTCTGACATTTTTTCTACATGTAAATGATTCCAGGGCCCTGGGACACACGGCGTTTGATTTAATGATGTGACCGATACATGTGGATTGTCTTATTTAACTGGCTGTTAAATTATCGCCCTGTTTCCCAGCTGTGAACACCTCGCTCCATTCATGTTGCCCAGGGTTTCCTATCTAATTATTAATTGTCGAAAAAATCACACACAAATTGAAAACCACTCTGCGCTAGCTCCACGCTCCGCTCACATGCTCTGTGTTTACAGAAGTAAACATGGATGGCAGTGCTTGGGAGCATTGTCGCTGTCACTATCCGATCCGTCCTGGAAACGTGATGCGTTCTGGCCATCCAGATATATATCCGTGTTTCCAAAAATAATGTAACTATGGTACTAAAATTACTTTTTCTATCCTTAACTCTATAGAATGCTAATAGACATCTTTAAAGAATGTTTTATGACTTTTGTGTGACCATTTTGATGCTTTTTACATTTCGTTCGTTAAACTGCTTCTGTGATGTCATCACGGGACATGCTCAGAGCAGTCACAGTAATGTCCGAAAGGCTATTTAAGTGGGTTTTTTAATGTATTCGTTTTTGTTTTTGTTTTTAGAATATGCAATATTTCGAAAGGAAATCCCCCGCCCGAAAAAGACAAAAGAATTAAAAAAAAAAGGATGAAAAACAAAGTATTGCTTACCCGGATGTTATTCTGTTAGCAAATGCGCAGGACGGGTCGTGATTCCGGGACGGATCGGGTAGCGACAAGCATTTAGCGATCTTTCCCAACCTTAAAAATTCAATCTTTTAAAGATGGTTAAACATAAATACTGCTCTCCGCATCATTTTCCGCCATGGTTGTTGTTTTTCTTGCCGCTTCTGTGTAGCAAGATGCAGAATATTGGCCTATGTCGGCTAGTAATGGCGCATGACCTGGCTGTTCAGACACAGGTCGCATTTGAAAAGATCAGATTCGCATCGGATTCAGGACCACATGGCCAAGTGGCCTGGGTCCCATTGGAAAAAATCGGATCTATTTTGTTCGGACTGCCATGATAAGGTCAGATACAGGTCGCATATGGGCAAAAAAATCGGATGTTGGTCACTTCAGGCTGCTGTGTGAACGTAGCTTTAAGAAGGCTCTCTACAAACCTAATGTACAGTCTGCTTAGAGTAGCTCTGCCTTCAGGATGGCAACACTGGAACTGTGGAAATGTCTTTATTGCTTTTTCTTTTAGGAAACGGCTTTGATTTCTGGAGACGCTTTTGTAACCTCGTTAGCCGCTGCCTTGTGTTCACAGCACTCTTAAAATGTCTCCCAGCAGAACATTTCTATATCCGTAGGGGTGACCCCGGTTAGACACAGTAGGAGACACTGCCAGCACATTTTAGCCACAAGCTTCATTTAGCCAAAGCTGCGCCTTACAATCTCTCCAAAGCCCTTTTTGTCTGCTAGCACTTTCAGTCTCTCACTGTGTGAGAGGAAGTGAGGTTCCTGGATCTGGTTACACATTTACACATTTACTAAGGGTACTGGTGTCATGTGGGTCAAAATGAGTAGGTCAAAAGTACTTGAAGGCCAAAAAGATCTAATGTGATTAAATAAAAATCAAATTACAAACAGAAATAATATATAGTGAACAATAAACTAATAATTTATTATTTGATTCAATAAATGAATCTATGTTTTTTCTTAAAGGATGTTTGTAAATCATTGTAGGTCCAAAGCATAAAAAGGTTTTATTATGAAATAAAAGCATCCTGTTTTGAAATTTGTTCAGGCTTGATTAAAATAACCCCAAAGCAAAATGAAATGTAATCAATTCTCAGCAATAATAACTCAGTTTGGATCACATGCTGTGTTTATTAAAGTTTAATCCATTGATTAAAAGCAGATTTGGGTAAAAGTCGCTGGATAGATGTGGTCCTATAGACTGCAATTAAAGGGGCATAGTGTCGTGATATGACTTTTCAAATTTAATTAAATCAATTCAGTTTATTTCTAGCGCCAATTCACAACACATGTCATCTCAAGGCACTTTACAGTTCAACCAGATCATCCAGTCAAATTGATTCAAAGTTTTCTATCTAAGGAAAACCAGTTGATTGCATCGACTCATTGACTCAAATACAATCCCTCACACTAAGCAAGCTTGTAGTGACAGTGGAGAGGAAAAACTCCCTTTTAACAGAGAGAAAACCTCCAGCAGAACCAGGCTCAGTGTGAGCGGCCATCTGCCGAGGCCGACTGGGGTATATATTTATATGCCAGTTAGCTCGTTCTGTTAGCATGCAATGTTTTTCTAAAGAATTACCATGTCCTGCTGCTGCATAATTTGTTGTCTTTTGGTTTTAATCTTTGGTTTTGTCAAGTTTGTAAGGCCTCTGTCACATCTTGCCGATTTAGCCAGTGTATGTCCAACGTCCCAGAATCTCTTAAAACGCTGGCCTACGCTGAACTTTCTATGTATATTTCTTAATGTTGGGCGTATAGAGTATTCATAACGAGTCTAGAACTTATGTACAGCGACAGCCTAACTTCTGCATAACGCACAGCAGCATAATGCCCATGATCTGATGTTCAAGCCAGTGTCCTGACGGGGGCAGCGATGCACCCGGTTTGCATAAAAAGATTTATTTGTTTGCGGAATTAACCTAGCCGAGATTTGCCAAAAAAAAAAAAAAAAAAAGAATAAAGAAAAAGAAAGAACAAAGGTTTTCAGTCTCAGCAGATTCAGCGTCATGCCTGCTAGGAAGTTTGTTGGTGGGCGTGAACCTGGGAGGATCCGTCACTCACCTTCTGGCTCCCCCTATGATGAGGATGAAGTCTGGATGAGAACTGATAGTTCTGGAAGTTCTTGATAAGTTACACATCAGTTATGCACACGTTACTCATAGGTTTTGGATAAGCTAGACGCCACAAGTAACTTACACTTAAAGGTATACTATGCAACTGGTGTTTATTTTCCAGCGAGGCTCCCCCCAGAGGGCGAAAGTAAAAGTGCACTGTCGTAAATATGCTCAGCTGTTCTCCTGGTTTCTCCGTCAAGCCAGGCGCGGTTGTTTTGAGCTTAGCAGACAGGAGAACGCAACAAATCACCATGTCTACTGCGGGCTTTCGCTGTTTTCTCGCTGGTTCCGCCATGATAACTGCACAAATATCGCCACTGCGCTAGCAACGAGCATGCCTTTCACTGGGGGCGTGTAGCAGTTCTCGCCGTAAAGCAAGACCGACTCTCGCGAGACTTCTGAGCCTGTGGGTGCGGGCTGAGGGCTCCTGCAATTAGAAGTACGGTATTTCCCCTAAAGACCACCTGGGCGGCCGAGAAAACCTTTGTTCGACTTGAAATGACTCATTTAATCATCCAAAACGTTATGGAACACATTAATTAACTGAAAAATGTTGCATAGTATGCCTTTAGCGTATGTCAACGATCAGATAACTTACCTGTAACTTATGACATAGGCTGGCATACGACACACAATTATGCCGTATGTCGATGTGTTCCAGCGTGCTCATAAGTTATACAAAATGCACCCATAACTTATCCAACGTATGTCAGCATTTTTGCCAGATTTTGACCTGGTCTAAATCGTCAAGATGTGACTGGCCCTATATTAAAAAAAGCCCTTCTGAATATATTTACCATAACAAAACTGCTTTACCAGAGGTAAGACGTTGCAGATGTGTGCTTTGGGTAAACAAGGAAATGTTTGGGCTGAGCAAGGCAGCCATTACTGAGGAGGAGTAAAAATAAAGAGAAATCCAAGCAGAGGTGGATAATCCAGGTGCAAAAAGTAAAAGGCCTGTATAGACATCATAGAGATCTCCAAAATGCAGATTAATCACCTGAGGGACTAATTATCTTGTTAAGTGAACAAGATGAAGGAAAAAAAGGGGTGATTTTTACTTTCTGGACCTGGATTTTCCACCTCTGGATCCAAGATCCAGTGTATAAAAGCACAGAAAATATTTGATTCCAACAGGGAAAAGACTTTAAGAGCTTAGACTACAGTCTGAACGTTGGTTTTCTTTGTTTCTATAGTCTAAGTAAAAACGACATTACAAATGGATTGACTGGCTTTTACCTCGATGCTGCGTCCCTGTTTGCTTTTGGTAGGAAAAGGATTTTTCTTTGTTTTTTGTCCTAATGTTCTGCTAAGAGTCTCTAGATTCACTACAGCTGCTTTAGCTGGGCTGGTCTTAGACCTTGCTGTTGCATTACCATGAGGCTCTCCAAAAAAGTTAAAAAACAATCCACTGGACTTTGTTTCCAAGTTTAAAAACATTTCGCTTGCCATCC